TTCTATATCCAGAGTCGTCGTTCCCGCTACGCTCCCACACACAACTCTGTCAACGCTTGTTAATAACATATATTATACAAGATTCTTGGAAAATTTGTAAAAGATGAAAAATTGTATTGATTACTATATATATTATCATCTTTATTAATAATACTAAAGTGAATTACGATTTAAATTTCAAATTTTCACCGTTTAAAACTTGTACAAGAATTTTGTACAACGATATTGGTAGCATAGCGACAGACAACTCTGGATAGAGAATGGTAGAGTAGGCTTTCATCCCTTAAATCTTTCCCTTAAATCTTTCGCCCCAGAAAACTGTCTCTAGAAAAGGATTTTCCTCGGAAAATAGGCTCTAGAGTGTGATTTCCCCACATAAATTTTAGAATTTTCTCACACACTCTTTGTAAAAAAAAAAATCGAACCATAGATAAAATGTTGGTCCTTTTAGAGAACAAACAAATATCAAATCACTGAAGGTGGCCTGATATGCAATTTAAAATTCGTGAACAAACAGTCGCCTAGAGAGTGTGCTGAGATAAACATCGAGTCTAACGATTTTGGAGTGAGTAATTTTAAAATTTCTCCGAGTTAAAATTCTTGATTTAGACTCATTGATTTAAGATTTCATACTAAATTTGACAATGCTGGGAAGAAAACACAATTCCATTAAAAAAATCTGTTAACTTTCATATAAACTTTTAGCCAAACTATTTTCGATAAGATTTAAGCATTGATAAAAATGGGAAAATCCTACTCTGAGAAGGAAAATGGGGAAATTTGGCTCTATTGTGAGATTTTCCCGGGGGGGGGGGGGGTCCTAATTTAGAGTACAGATTCCGAGGTAAAGCTGGCTATAGAGGAAATCCTTCTCTACAAAACCGGTTTGAAATTAAAGATTGTATCGAAATTAATTCAGATTCAAAAGAAGAAGTTTTGCGGAAAGAATGCTTTTCTACAAATAAAAATAGAAGAATATGGCCCAGAATTGGAACTTGATTAATTTATTGTCCAACCAAATAATAATTTTTTTTTTCAATGCATGGTAATTTTGATGAAATTGAAAATTTTAGACGCCAAAATGACATTTTTTTCCTCGAAAATGTATATTATTCAAACTTATATCAATATATTTGGGGGAGGGGGTGGGGGCTTTCCAAACTCATCCGGGTGACCTCCACTGACTTCAAAATCAACCAAATATACTTTCTTCTCCAGTTCACAATTTTGCCTCATGCGAAACCCTCTCCTTTTAAAATTTCTAGATCAGCGCCTTACATTTTAGCAACCTTCGAAGTTACAGATCCTTTCCGAATTACAATAATACGAGTAAATTTACCATCCTCTTGATTTGCAAATGATTTCTGTTAAACTCCGATGGATTATAGATAATTTCATAGACAACCTATTTGTGGTGTTAAGTAGGAACACATATATTATGTTTGAAATGGATTAAACCTAGCTGTCAGTAGGAAGTACTCTACAGATATACATGTATGGAGTGCCACTTAAAGGCGCGACAGTCTAAATAATCTGATTTATAATTCTTTGGAAACATATACTGGGTGCCATATGCAAGTTATGTAACACACTGAACAGGACTGCTAAATTACTCTTCACTCCCTGAAACTGGAAATACTAGTAAACAAATAATTTTTTTATCATAATGCATTATATGTTATATGGTTCATGACCCCCTGAAGATCATCCCCACCCCCCTGAAACTAGAAATGGTCGAGTCTTAAAAATAGCTGACCCCCTGGAAGCCATTCCCATCCTCTGAAATTCGAAATGGTCAAACATCTTTAAAACAGTTGAAAGCTTTACCTAAATCATATATAATCTTGTTCTTTGTGCCATGTCTCCTTACTTGCTATATAGGTCATGACCCCTGGGGGTCATCATTATTTATCTTGCAAAATATGAAATGGCTACAACTTAAAAGTTCTTAAAACCAGATTTTTTGTAAAACTAAAAAACGTCATTTTTCAAACCCCACTTGGCCCCCATGGTGAAAATGAAAATTCCGAAAACTTATTGCACATCTGCTGGACATGTATGACCTTGACTCGAACTTTATTCAACTATTGTTTGACGTATCATACAGCTCTTTTACAAGTTGTTTTGGCCATTTTAACAAACATAACAGCCTTGACCTTGGGGAAATAATCTTAAAGTTTTGTCACAGTCGTTGTGTACGGAACACGTAAAGGATGAATAATCGTTTTGCCTTAGTGGTTATAATAGCCCCAACCCTCAAAATATGGTCTACTTCAATGAAAATTACATGTATGTCTACTTTAAAAGGGACAACTCATTGGTGACTTCAGTAAGTTCAGCCATTTTAACCTTAATCACACTATGTCCATGGCTTCTGAAATGCGATGGTCTGATTAGGTCATAATTGCCTTGGGCTCTAACCTTAGATCAAATGTATGACAAAGCATCTATATCGGAGAAGATGTATGGTTGGACCGGGAATCGAACCCGGAACCCCTGCATCACTAGTCAGGTGCTCTACCAACTGAGCTACCCAGACCGATAGCCAAGGCTCAAACCATTACACTCCTCCCTCCTTAAATTGTCTTCGCCCTCGAAGACACACCCAAGTTCTTATATGCCCCTGGCAGGACTTTCACTTGCAAGTCCTGTTACAAAATCTGTAACAGGAAAGAAAATGCATAGCTGGACCGGTAATCGAACCCTGGTCCACTGCATCACTAGTCAGGTGCTCTTCCGACTGAGCTACCCAGGCCGATATCCATGGCCCAAACCATTACATACGTAATTTAATAATTACGTGATGTTATTTTGATGCAAAACAGGTCAGAAAACTCAAACAGCTTGTAAAAACGGGCACACAAGAAGAAATCAATGCAAGGCGGGATATAGTTGCAGTATAATTTCCATGTTTACAAATATGGACACCTGTTTATATGAATAATTGTTAAAATTTTTAACATAAGTGTTACCGGGGAATTCAAACTTATGATCAGTAATCATGTTTTTATCGTCGATAAACTTTTTGTATGTATCCGACATTATTAGAGTAATGGACAATGATTCTCATAAAGATTTAATGTTTTTGCCAAACATTAGAAGCGCACAATTATTGTTGACAATTGCACCCAGTGCTCCAATGGATGGTAGAAAAAAATCACCTTGATGAATAATATGCAAACAGATGTGTTTACGACCACAATGTCTGTTGATTTTGGCCAGCAATGAAGGTACATAAGCCTAACTGCTAGCTGGTTGTATACAGATACTGGTGCATTCAGTGCATATACTCAGAATGCATTGTAGTTTTTCTTCACAGTGAAACTGTTACAGAGAGCAAAAGTTATTGTTATACCTTTACAAATTGTCTCCTATATAAATCTATGCTAAAAAGTCTAACATTTCCAAGGTTTTACCTACGAGTCCAAAAAAAAATCAATGTCGTATATTGAACCTATCGGTGAGATATTGGACCATCATGACGTTTTTTACGTCACACTATGGGTATGATTAGCTATATCTTATCAATTATCGCAAACATGGTAGTCAGCGCAAGATGTCAAAATAAAAAGTAAAAGGTATTTTTTTAAAAAAACTATATTGACTGTGTTCTCGGGCAAATTGCGTTTTATTGATCACTCAAACCAAACGGTTTGCCTTCGGCCTAACGGCATCGAACAATCAGTTTGGTTCTAGGGTTCAACTAAACGCATCTTGCCCTCAAACCAAGTCGATAAATGTGTTATATTTGTGTCAATATCTGCAATGATTTTCTTTGATTGAACTTAATACAACGGTTAGCACAGGATTTACTACAAATACGTGCATATAGTGTTTCTTTCCGTAGAGAAAACATAAACACTATTATAGAGTGACGTCATATTGTCCACTATCACGACACATGTCCTAAAACCACCACTGTCTGTTCGGTCATTTCTAGTTTGCTGGCCATTGCTCTTGTTGGTTTCAATATCGTAACATTCTTCTGCAGTCCACAACAAGATACAAAGAAGTGTTGAACTTTTATTGTTATATAAAAAATACGTACATATACCAGAGACATACATATACCAGAGACATCATATGCCAGTCACCAGAGACGTACATATACCAGAGACGTACATATACCAGAGATGTACATATACCAAAGACATATGCCAGAGACATATACCAGAGAGGAACATATACCAGAGACGTACATACATGTATACCAGAGACGTACATATACCAGAGATGTACATATACCAGAGATGTACATATACCAGAGATGTACATTTACCAGAGATGTACATATACCAGAAGCATATTGTTTATTTGTTATTTATATAACTAAATCATAATTGTTAATATCAAATGAAAAAGAGTGAAAATTCTTTACATTTTTCTCTCCCTTTCTTATACATAAGTATTAAACAGTTTTTTTTTTAATTTTTGAAAAAAAATATAGTGTTTTCAAGATCTCGCATATAAATCACAAAATTGTTGCATATGAATCACAAGATTATTGAATGCAAATCACAAGATTTCGCATATACATCATAAGGTTACAATTATGAATAACAATTATCGAATATAAATCTCAAGATTTAGGATATGAAATACATGGTTACGAAAATGAATAACAAGTTTTTGAATACAGATAACTTTTCGAATAACAATCACAAGTTTTATCAAACATAACATAAGATTTGTATAAGAATGTAAACTTTTATACCCCATATATTCATAAGTGTATATAAATAGAGAGATACATGTATAAAGAAAAATTAAAGTAAAAACAAAACACTTTATATACATGTACGTGTATTACATAATTAAGGGTATCTTAAACAGGGAATATGCTTAATTGTAAACAAAATAATTCCTATTTACTAAACATATGTCATTTATTCAATTTTAAGTGATTTTAAAAATTTGGTAAGTTAAAATTTCATGTACGTGTATTATGAATTACACGTAAGATCATTGTAAATTCTTGCTATTTGTATTCTTGAAAAAAGTATTTAAATTAAAAAAGATTCTTCATCAGATATGCATTAAGGAATAGTTATTGTTGCATTGCCAAATTATCATAACCTTGCCCGTCCGTCTGTGAGTTACTTTCCCCATCAGTTTGTTTGTTTATTTTTCGCCGAAACAATTTTATGACGTGTTTTCTGAAATGGCTATTGTATGTGACATAAACTACAGGTTTTACAAGAGTAGTGCACTGGCACAAAAAGATGACTACAAAAACTAACTCGTCACTGATATTTGCAAATCTATCCTTGAGAAAAATATATGTCACAACTAAGTATGGAAGCCAGAGCAAAAAGGTTAAACACGTCATGATAATGTATGTTTTTGTGAGTAAAGTGTCATTTTTGGCCATGTGATACACCTTCTTCTGTTGAACGTTTTGCTTTTGAGTCCCCTTTTGGACAGTTTCCTTGGTGTTTTCGTCATCTGACGAATCATTACTAATATATCCATCCTCCGTGTATGTGAATTTTTTCCCGATGTTGGGTTTAATTGCTCTAGTTCCCGCGTTCTGGAATCTGTATTGCTGGTTGCGCAGCCTCTGTGAGTACGAATCACCGATCGCCTTCCTGTTCCTCTCCACAATAAGTGCCCCATTGTCGTCTTCTCGTTTCTTAATTTTCCGTATCATTATAAAAATGAAAAGATACATTCCCATACAAAGAGTTATTGGGATCCCAAAGCACAAGGCAGTCACGAAATTTGTTTCCCTTATGTTTTTCTCGTGATCCATTGCGCACTGAAATTGGTTTGAAAAATAGCTTACTGTTCCCCACCCGAAATACGGGAATGCTGCGAGGATTCCGTCAAACAACCACAGAGCTAGAAGCATAATGAGGACCACGGTGTTGATGAAAATTTCGCTATGTTTGGATGGCCTTACAAATAAAAGGCATCTGTCGAAGGCCAATAGAACGAATGAGTGAGAGTTCAGGAACAACCATAAAGACATGATGTATTCCTGAACCTTACAAATCTCGGAAGGGAAAATCCATCCATCGTTAAACAAGGAAACGGCAGTCAAGGACAACCATCCAGCAACGGCTAAAATGTCGACCACGGCTAGAGAAATGAGAAAATACTGTGAAGGCTTTCTTAGGCGCTTCCTCTTCACACAGATAAAGAAGAGGAAACAGTTCAAAATAACCGACAGGAGCCCAATCAACGCCAGACATGCTCCCATTCCATAGCGAAAGGCAACAGTCGCCATTTTCTTTCCCTGGTTTGTTGGTATCCTATTGCAAAATAGCAACAACTTCTAAACTTAATTATTTTGTCGTATAATACAATTATCCACCGTCCTCAAGCAGAACGATTGTAACATTCATTTTCCGATCGAGATGTCAATATTGACCGTTGAAAGATATATAAGTGAATGAATCCAATTTTCTCGTCTATTGAAGATAAGACAGGGGGAAAACGGTACAATCTATGCAGTGAAGGTAAACTTCATATAATAATAAAACCCGGGTTTCATTTGTTATTCATTTAATTTTCTACCTGTGGTGTCAATAAAAAGGGATTTAAGCCGATCCATCTTGACCTTTAAATTCACGTTTAAATCTTTTATCAATTTCTTGAACACGTCTCTACTTGAAATTCAAGTACAAACATTAATGTTTGTCACATTTTTGAGTCACTTTTATTTTCAATTTTTATATTTAGTTAAATCTCAGGCCCGTAGGAAGTAGGAAGCAATTTCAGTTGGGGGGGGGGGCACAGCTATACATTTTCAGGTGAGGGGGCACTATCAGCTACCAAAATTTCCTTGACATAAAAAAAAAAAAAAAAAAAAAAAAACCAAGAGGCCCAAGGGCCTTAACGGTCACCTGAGTATGATACAACAATTTAAAGGATGCATAGAGTATAAGATGAACTGAAAGGTGAAGCTTTGTTGCCCAAAAGCAAGAAAAATAGGGTGATCATGATCAACAAAATAATTGGTCTTAATATTCATTAACAGTTCATAAATTAGGTTCTAATCTGTTCCCCATTTATCACTATCACCATACACAGGTACTTGTGGACAGGAACCCCCCCCCCCCCTCCAATATGCCCCAAAGGTCAAAAAATATTTTTATGTATTTTTTTCATAAATTATTCTTCTAGAACACATTTACAATGTATTCCATAAGAAAAATCCAAAAAAATAACGCAGAATTAACGTTTTACTAAAAAATCATACCCGCGGTATTATAAAATAGAGAAGGTAATATTTTATAATACCGCGGGTATGATTTTTTAGTAAAACGTTAACTCTGCGTTATTTTTTGGATTTTTCTTATGGAATACATTGTAAATGTGTACTAGAAGAATAATTTATGAAAAAAATACATAAAAATATTTTTTGACCTGTGGGGCATATTGGAGGGGGGGGGGGTCCTGTCCACAAGTACCTGTGTCACCATACAGTATATTAACAAATTATCAATGCTTCTGTACTATTTTAATCCTTTGTTGAAATCTCTTACATTGGCCTCTCTTGATCTTTGATGAATATTTAATAAGACAAGTTATTTTTGTCTCGTTTTTATTTATCTACTACTTAAAAGTCTATCTGATCATTAAAACTATGAAAGTACTTTTTGTATTATACAATAAAAGTTTTTGCATAATTCTCTTATTCTATTTACCTTTCAAGTACATTATTTACAGTGATAAATTATCAAAAGTAAATGGCAAAGGGGAATAACTCCTCTCAGTAGAATACAAACTAATAGAGCCCTGGCCAGGACCAGATCACTTAACTAAATGGTCCAGATGTTCAAAAATCTGGTAAAAATTCCCTTCTTTATAAAAACTTTTACTCTGTTTGCCTCAGATATGCCCAGGTGCGGAGAAGATCTTTAAATAAATAATGCATTTTTACTACAGATTCACTATATTATCAATAGAGCCCCCAACCCCAACCCCCATCCCCAAAACACCAGAGCCTCTGACCCTGGGACCATATGTTTGCTCATCATAACTAATCACTTTGTTTATCTGCTTAACACTAAGGAGCAAACAGAATTATTTAATAGAATTAATGCATTTTCACTAAATTATCAAGAGCCCCACCCTCACACCAGCACATCTGACCCAGGGGTCATGAAATTCACTACTCTGGAAGAAGCACACTTGCTCATCATAATTATACACTTAGCTTCTTTGCTTTTTTTAACCAGAAGAAGAAAAGAATATTTTCAAAGAAATTTTGCTTTTTCACTTTATAATCAATAAAAGTCCCCCCCCCCCCCCCCCTCACCAGAATCCTTAGACCTGGGGTCATAAAATTCACAATTTTGGAAGAGGCATTATTGCACATCATAACAATGTACTTTTAAATTAGTATGTTTAAACCCAGGGGCAGAGAAGAAGAAATAATTCACCTTCACTATAGGATCTATATAGCCCCACCCTAGCACCAGAACTCCTGTCCCCGGGGCCATGAATTTCACAAGTTTGGAAGAGGCATCCTTGCTTATCATAACAATGTAATTAGTTTGTTTAAATAATACCCAGGTCCAGAGAAAAAGATTTTTAAAGAATTAAAACATTTTCACTTTATAATCAATAGAGCCCCGCCCTAACACCAGAACCCCTAACCCAGGGGCCACGAATTTCACAATTTTGAAAGAGGCATTATTGCACATCATAACAATGTACTTTTAAATTAGTATGTTTAAACCCAGGGGCAGAGAAGAAGAAATAATTCACCTTCACTATAGGATCTATATAGCCCCACCCTAGCACCAGAACTCCTGTCCCCGGGGTCATGAATTTCACAAGTTTGGAAGAGGCATCCTTGCTTATCATAAAAATGTAATTAGTTTGTTTAAATAATACCCAGGTCCAGAGAAAAAGATTTTTAAAGAATTAAAACATTTTCACTTTATAATCAATAGAGCCCCGCCCTAACACCAGAACCCCTAACCCAGGGGCCACGAATTTCACAATTTTGAAAGAGGCATCCTTGATTATCATAACTATGTATTTAATGTGTTTCAATAATACCCAGGAGTAGAGAAGAAGATTTTCAAAGAATTAATGCATTTTCACTATATAATCAATAGAGCCCCACCCTAACACCAGAACCCCTGACCCAGGGGCCATGAAATTCACAATTTTGAAAGAGGCACTCTTGCTCATCATAACTATGTACTTAGTTACTGAATTTAATACCCAGGAGCAGAGAAGAAGATTTTCAAAGAATTAATGCATTTTCACTATATAATCAATAGAGCCCCGCCCTAACACCAGAACCCCTGACCCAGAGGCCATGAATTTCACAATTTTGGAAGAGTCACTCTTACTCATCATAACTATATACTTAGTTAGTTTATTTGATACCCAGGAGCAGAGAAGAAGATTTTAAAGAAATAATGCACTTTCACTATATGATCTATATAGCCCCGCCCTAGCACCAGAACCCCTGCCCCTGGGGCCATGAATTTCACAATTTTGGAAGAGTCACTCTTACTCATCATAACTATATACTTAGTTAGTTTATTTAATACCCAGGAGCAGAGAAGAAGATTTTCAAAGAAATAATGCACTTTCACTATATGATCTATATAGCCCCGCCCTAGCACCAGAACCCCTGCCCCTGGGGCCATGAATTTCACAATTTTGGTAGAGGACTCAATGCTTATTACAATGATGCCAACAGTTTGACTGCTTGATGTCCAGGAGTAAAGAAGAAGATTTTTAAAGATTACATTAATTTTGGTGGTTTTAGCCCCACCCCTCAGGCCCCAGGGGGGCAGGGACCATGAAATTCACAATATTTTTTCCCCTTCACCCATAGATGCTATATGCCAAATTTAGTTGAAATTGGTTGAGTGGTTTCAGAGAAGAAGCTAAAAATGTTCAAATGTTAACGCACATCGCACGACGCACGTCGCACGACGCACGCCGACGGACAAAAACGGATAGCAATAGGTCACCTGAGTGACTCAGGTGACCTAAAAAAAGGTCATCAGACGTTTTTATTGAGGGGCCACAAGCATATAGTAGCTATGTTTTCTATAGTAAACTATAGATCGGCAAAATTATTGGGGGGCACGGCCCCTCCATGCCCCCCCCCCCCCGGTTCCTACGGCCATGAATCTTATTGAAATAAAGACGCTGCTGAGCTGCACGTTATTTCACCTGATGGAGACAGGATAATTTTCTTTTGCGACATTATTGTGAAACGTTACAACTCACTATATTTCCCGGTAATGCAAAGTGAATATTGATATTCTTTTTTAATTTCATTCATGCAACTCAAAGGAATTGTGAATGCTTAAATCTGTTTTATTCACTTATTGTCAAAAAAGAGAAATATTTACAACATGAAAAGCTGCTGCATCTTATTGTAAATTATGTCCAATTTCTGAACTTTTTTCCATTGAAACTGAATGCTAGAACGTGAAGTTTTTTTCTGAAAACTTAAGTGTGAGGGTATGTGTGTGTGTGATTGAAATCGCAATAACGCAGAGCAACAGTTTTAATTCTTTCCCTCAATCCGTCTGTACACACAGTCCGTCTCACGGTAATGGCAGTACCAGGAATGAAGCAGTAAATTAATGTTCAGATTTAGCGATGCCGCCAGTTTACACGTGAGGTTTGTTGTATTGTCCTTAACCAGGAAGTGACATGAGAAATCCAGCCCCGGTCCGAATCGCTCTAGCATTGTCACACCCCGTGATTACCATTAACCTACATTTCCTTGTCAATCGTAATTTATGCAATAATTAATGCAACTTCTCACGTTTTGATTACCAAGTATTCGCCTCTGTTTAAAGACGTGATTATATCGTAAGTTAATGACACGGGAGTTTGTATGTTTGCTTTAATTAATATAAGGAAACAACAGGTGGTAATTAGGAAAAAATAAGCCTGTAATTATTGATTCTAACTTTAAAGAAAAAAAACCCTGTTCAAACTGACATACTTAGAAATTATAGCACATTTAATTTCTTGCATTTTTGACAACCTGTAATCAAGTATTCGTTATTTAAACTCTCCTGGAAAAATGGCGATCCCATTCTGGTCTCAAGGATCACTGATGAGAAAAAAGATGGTGTGCAAAAAATCTGGACGGTATGCCTAGTCATGAATATATGAATATTCATGAATACTGGAAAATCTGACAGAGAATGCAGGTCTGTTCTAAAAGGGCTTTTCATGATTTTTGCTATGTTAAAAAGAATTCTTATAACACTGTTAAAAAAGATGAAAAAATTATAATATTATCTATCATAAAAATAGTTAAACAACAG